CAGCTCCGCATCCCCGTCCACGGCCGGGGCGCAGCAGAGTCGGGCTGTGGCCTGGAGCCCATGCCAGTGGGGGCCCCGGGGACCCCTGCGCGTGGAGCTCGCCTGGCAGGGCCCTCTGTACCCCGCAGACCCTGCGCCCGCGAGTGCTGGTGGGTCTCCCAGCGCTTTCTCGCCGCGAGCTTCCGTGACGGCTGCAGACTCGGTGCCCCTCTGTCCCCACCTTTTGTTTTCCTGCTGCAGCGTGGGGAAACAGGGCTGGAACCAGGCCTAGGCGGTTCTGTGGGTTGGAAGGGGGCTTGCCCGGTAATCTGCAGGCGGTTGTGGGGTTGATGAGAAAAAAAATTACTGAAGATGCCTGCGAAAAGCAGGAGGGGCCGGAATCGCAGAGGGTAGCCCTCCAGGAAGGTCTTTGCAGTTCCTACACCTTCCTTGGAGAAATTTCCCCGGGTTAAAGTTCACGGACATTGTTGTAGTAATTGTTACTTCTGCTTATAATTTTGCAAATACTCGTTTGCCGTAGAAAAATACAGAAAAGTCACTGATTATCCCCATTACTCTTAAGGTACATGTTATGCTTCCCAGTCTTTTTCTCTTTTTAAAATATGCATGCACATTTGAAAAAAGTATATTGCACATTCGACTTTGTTACTTTTCTGTTTCACTCATAAACACTTATAACTTTTTTGCTCCTAAACAGCTTTCTAAGTCATTAACTACAGTTCATTTGATAGCTGTATTGTAGTCTTGGACTAAAAAAAACCTTTTGCTAGTTTTGTTTTGCTTTTTTAACCACAGAGAATTTCATCTTTCTGCTGTACTAAGGTAAAGTGAAAACTGACCAGGAAGGACACACCTGTAGGCCTGAAGCCAGTTTGCATAGATTTTACTTGCAGTGTACAACAGGGCTCTGGGGCATTTGCGTTGTTGATGGTATTTCAGAGTGTTTTTGTAAGGCATTAAGATGTGTTTAATACAACAATGGCTAAGAGTGAGACCAAGTGCTTTTTCAAACTCATTCTGGGGCACTCTGTTTTCCAAAATTGAGATGGTAAGAAGGACAGATTTGTTAGAATACCAGCTGGGCCTCTTGGTGCTTAATATGCAAGACAGTCTAGAGAGAAGTGGCACCAAGTAGCCAAAGCAGGTTATAACAAGGACTGGGGATGACTTTGCCAGGGAGCGCAGCCAAGAAACACTGGCTCCCCCAGAATCCCCTGCTGCTAGAAGAGCTCTGGGGCACAGCATCGTTTTTTATTGTCCCAGTGGCAGATGACACGAGGACAGCTCTGCCTGCTTACTCAAGGGCATTTCCCTGGAGCCAGACCAGGATGCAGCTGGACACCTCAGGGTTCCACTGAAGTGTTTATGTATCATTAGATACCAGAAAGCCAGCGATGGGCTCAGGGATTACGGAAATGACCTTCACTGCCAGAATTAGTCCCTCCAACAAAACAGGCTTTCTGGTCCTCTGTTAGAGACCTGTTTTGATTGTCTGCTGTGTGGCTCTAGGTGGAAGCCTTGCTCTCTTAAAGAAACCACAGCCTGTAAATGGAAGACTGCTTGCCTATTCTGGGTTGGGGGATGTGCAAATGTGAAAAATTGGTATTTAAGTGCTTCTTTGGCTAATTCATGATAAAATAAGCTCATCATCCTTTCTCTGGAAAATGTACATGCTTGCTGGTAACAGACCAGAAACCAGCTCCACCAGAGCGCCTACAGGGAGGTGGGCTCCCAACAAAACACCTGCAGCACTGCCCCTCAACCTGATATGTGGCCTCAGAGACTTGTACCAGCGAGTGTGGTAGTGTGACACTCTGTCATTAGGAAAACAGTGCTTTTTGGGTCTTTTTCAAAGCTATGCACGTCCTTAAGATAACTGGAGGAAAAATTAGAAAAAAGATAAACCGGAAGGAGGAAATTAACTGTGACCCCAACACTCAGTCATAAGACTATAAATGCTGTAAGTTGTTTGTGTTCTATGTTGTTTTTTCTGTACTGGTAGAAATACTTGTTTTTATCACTAAAATAGTTTTGTGCTGAACCTGTGGATTCGTAACTCTGTTAGCTCCTTATCTGTGGTAACTAGCAGGGGTGGTAGAAACTCAGTCTCAGAGGGAGATTTTTCACACAACCTGACTGGCTAATCAGCATGTCAGAAAGTAGCTAAAATGAGAGCTCTGTGCTTGGCCAGAGGCAGTATGTGGTTGTGAGGACATCTGTGGGTTCTCTGAAGCTGTGGCACACAGGGCTGGGGCTCCCCATGCAGCGAGGGAGGGCTGCATAGTTGTCCTGCTCGTTTGAATCCCAGTTACCCTTCTGTCTGTGTGACCCTGGGCTTGCGTGGCCTCAGTTTTCTCTTTAAAGTGAGGGAAGTCAGCCGGGCTCAGTGGCTCAGCCTGTAATCCCGCATTTTGGGAGGCTGAGGTGAGTGGATTGCCTGAGCCCGTGGGTTCGAGACCCGCCTGGGCGGCTTGGTGAGACCTCATCTCTACAATAAATCAAAAAATTGGCCGGGCGTGGTAGCACGCCTGTAGTTCCAGCTACTTGGAAGGCTCAGGCAGAAGGATCGCCGGAGCCCAGTGGGTCGAGGCTGCAGTGGCCGGGAGCGGCCACTGCACTCCAGTCTGGGCGACAGAGTGAGACTCCAACTCAAAAAATAAATAAATAAATAAAGTGAGGGAAGTCAAACTAGGTTATCTGTTTGGGAGGTTCCTTGCCATTCTGAAATGTTAGGGTTTTGTGTTTGTTTATGTTTGTGTTTTACGTTGACATTCTGTCTCCATCCAGAACTACTTTGAGGATGCTTCCCCAAGATGTAACACAAAGGTTCACATTAATAGAAGGCCTCAAAGAGAAAGTTGGGAGGGACCCTGAGGGTAGGAAAGTGGGTTAAATTCAGGTGCAAGGTCAGGGCACAAAGCACAGGCCGGACATCCTGGCCACCAAAGCTGATCCTACCTCATAGAAGTCATGGGATCCCTGCCATGACGTCCGGAATGGACGATGCTCGACTTCTGCTCTGTGGCCTTTGGGAGGCAGATGCTGTATGATATGGGGCCCTTAAACTGGTTCCTGTGCCTCATCCAGGAGCTCCTGCAGGACCACAGTGGGGGTAAAGAAAAAGCAGCTCTGTCGCAGGGACCACACTGCTGTCCTAAATTTTCCCAGAACATAATTATAAGCATGATGCATCTGGTTTGGCTGAACCCAGGAGTTGGAGGAAGACGATGGAGAGTGTGGCTTGCAGCGCCGGCCAACCCTGATCCCCTCTCATGGGATTTACTTTCATCAGTCAGTGGTGGGAGCAGCGCAGGAGTCTGTTTAACTCCCAGTTGTCCTGAGTGTACCCACTTGTGTGTGATGTGGACTTGCACCCGAGGCCACTTCTCCAGCAGCACTCAGCTCAGAGTTCTTTTCTCAGCCTCAGGCTGCCATGTGCTGCCAACTCTGGGAAGCAGGTTCAGGCCATCATTATTAAATTGAACATGCGCATTTGTTTCTGCAGAAGTCAGTCTGGCTTCTGTTCTGACAGGCTGTAGTGGCTAATTTTACATGTCGGCTCGCTTGGCTGTAGGGCCAGATGGTGACATTGTGGACACGGACAGGCCTCTGGGGAGGTTTTTCCTGCAACTTCCAGTTCTCCGATTCTTGGAGGGCACCAACTGAGTGACCTACACTTCGGCTCAGTCCGACACCACCTGTGTGGAGTGAGCCTCAGATCCCACAGGCTGAGGGCTTGGGCATCTGCCTTAGATGCTGACATCTGACCAGGCCCCTTGTCAGACTTGATGACTTGCTAGACTGACTCCCAAGGATCTGGGAAGCACCTCCCTTGTGTTCGTTCACCAGCTTACCGTGAAGGATACAACTCAGGGACAGGCAGGTGAAAGATGTGCTTAGAACAGATGTAAGGGTGGGGCTTCTTTGCTCCCTGCAGGTGCCACCCTCCCCCCAGCACCTCTGTGTGTTTGCTGACCCCTTCGGTTAGGAATTTTACAGAGGCTTCCTGGCGTGATAGACTGTCATTGGTGTTGGTGATGGGCTCAGCCTCCAACCCCTCCCCTTCCTGGAGATTGGGGTAGGGGAGGGGTGGGCCTGGAAGTGCCAGCCCTCTAGCCAGAAGGTTGGTTCCCTGGCAACCAGTCCCCTACTAGGGCTTCCCCACTTCACCTCATCACCTGTGTCAAGAGTGGTTAAGGGGCCTGTTATGAGTGACAACACACTCCCTCACTTTTGTTGCTCTCATCACTGAGCACATTACGAGGGTCTTAGGAGCTGAGCCTAGAAGTCCAAATACAGGCATCTTCCTGTGTCACAGTAGTCTAGCTTCCAGTCAGCTGCAGCCTCACAGAGCAAGTCCTGCAGCCTTCATCTTGGGACTGGAACTGCAGATGCTGGGTCTCCAGCCCGCCGGCCACCTCACCCTGCAGATTTTGGACAGTCTTGTGAACCAGTTCCTTAAATCAATCAATCAATCTCTCTCTCTCTCTCCCCCACCTTCCCTCCCCCTGCCCCCTCCACACACACACATATCTTACTGTGGTTCTGTTTCTCCAGAGAAACAGACTAATCCACAGGAGCTGTGGTGACTGCAGGGACCATTTGTACCTTTATGAAATGTCATAACTGACCTCACTTCCACATCTCAGCCATATTTAAATGACCTTTCTATTTTTTGAGTCGGGGTCTCACTCTTGCCCAGGCTGGAGTTCAGCCTGTACTGTTCAGGTGTGTTCTAGTCCCAGGCCTGGTAACTAAAGTGAAGAGGAACTCCATGGTCCTGTTGAAAATAGCTCGCTGGTTCCCCACAGAAACCAAGAATTCCATGACCCAGCAATTCTTCAAGGAAGTGTGTATGTGACTGCACAGGTGAGCTCGAGAGACGTGGTGGGTTATCCACCCAAGCCTACGGCACACATGGTAGTGGTTTTATAAAGCTGTCCTGAGAGTGACCCCTCGAATGTAACGGAGTGAATGCAGCGACACGGTCAGGGAAAGCGAGGACCAACTTCAAGTCTGCAGGAGGCCCATAGACTCTCAGCACTTGTCTCTCTGGCATCCGTTGGTGCTGGGCGGTGTTTGAGACTGGCTGTGCTCCCCAGCGGGAGGCAGGAGGGCAGAGGTCCTGGCAGGATAGGCAGCCCCAGTATGTCTGGAGGGCCAGGAGCCCACCCAGAGCCTGGCTGTTGAGCGCTGTGCTTGCTGGCCTCCAGGCTGGATCAGTGTTCCATGTCCCTGTGTCATGTCAGGCCAGCTCTGTCCTGCCCACAGTGCCCAGGCGATAGGGAGGGGCAGTCTGCCCAGGAGCCATCTGTGCCCCTAAGGCACTGCAAGAGGACAGCTGGCCTGTGGAGGCGTGCTAGCACTGACAATCCAAGTGGACAGAAGGGGACAGGAAGACCCGTCTCGTCCCAGGTTTGCCCACGGAATCAGGCCCTTTGTTCTGGGGACTGCCATCACTTGGGTCTTTCTTCTGTTGTCCTGAGTGTTGGAAAAGTTCACTTTTTGTTTTTCCACCAAGGGATCAGACACTTACGTTAATGAAAACTCTAATCAAAACTCCTTTCATGAAAGGGGGGTATTGGAGGTCTCTCCAGGCCCAATTCTATCATACTCCACTGTGTAAGGGGCAAAATAAAGCACTGCTGGTGCTGGACACTCAGAGCCCAGGAGCTCCCGTGCCGTCTTGAGAAGATGCCAATGTTGGGCGATATCTGTGCCGATCATATTTCCATCTGTCAGTGCCAAAGAGCTTCATGATCCTTTTCTGTGATTTGTCAGTGGTACAGGCTTTGTCTGGGATAAATACGCTCAATTTTAAGTGAAGGGAGGTTGAAGGCCACTTACCCCTTGTTATAGTCATATTACAGGAAGGGACTGTAGCAGAAAGATCAACAGCTCAGTTTAGCTCCAGGCGGGGGACCTTCAAGCTGAGCTGCAGAGCAGAGGTTCAGGGACCCTATTGTCATTCTCAGGTCTCTGACCAGTGCTCCCTGAGCAGGGAAGCTCTGTCCACGGTTGCACAGGAGGGGCCAGAGGGTAGTGAGTGGGCAGGGGCTGGGCAGTGTCTGGGGTGGCCGTGGACTCACAGTTGCAGGATTTGGAGCCACTGAAGAACTAGCCTGGGCTGCTGCTTAGACAATGCCTATGCCCTTGCATGGTTTTTCCCAGACTGCCAGCCTGCTAACTGATTCAGCTCTGCAGCTCTCCTTGAAAATCTGGCATGGTTAGCTGGGCATAGTGGCTCATTCCTGTAATCCCAGAACTTTGGGAGACTTAGGTGGGAGAATCGAGACCAGCTTGGGCAACATACCAAAACCCAGTCTCTACCAAAAAATTTTTAAAAAAATAAGCAGGGTGTAGTGGCACACGTATAATCCCAGCTACTCAGGGAGCTAGGCAAGAGGAAGTGAGGGGCTGTGATTGTGCCACTGCACTTCAAGGTGGGTGACAGAGTGAGACCCTGACTCAAAAAAAAAAAAAAAGAAAAGAAAGAAAATCTGGCATGGTGAAAGGAACCAGCCTTGTGTGGGTCCCTGTCCAGGCCTGTGAAGACATGTAAGTGACGGTTGTATTTCCAGAGAGGGATCATTGCCCTGTGCTGGGATGGGACTCCAACCTGTCCTGTTCAAGTCTATATCTTGGCCAGCTCTTCAGCAAGTCTCCAGTTTGATGGTTTTCACTCTGAACCATCTTTTTTTTTTGAGTCAGAGTCTCACCCCATCGCCCAGGCTAGAGTACAGTGGCACACACACTCACTGCCACCCCAGCATTGACCTGTTGGGCTCCGGTAATTCTTCTGCCTCAGCCTTCCAAGTAGCCAGAACCACAGGCGCATGCTACCATGCCTAGCCACCTTTTTGATTTATTGTAGAGATGAGGTCTTGCCAAGTTGCCCAGGTTGTCCCTCGAACCCGTGGGCTCAGGCAGTCTCCTCACCTCGGCCTCCCAAAGTGCTGGGATTACAGGCTTGAGCCATCACATCCGGCCCACTCTGAACCATCTTAAGTGAAAACCTAAATCAACATATCTGAGGAAATGATGAAAGTTCTTAAATTAAAACAAGTTGCCAAAACCCCAGAGCAATGACAGAACACGCCACAGTCCTGAAGCCCAGAGCTTGTGACCGGCAGGGTACACGTTGTATCTGGTGTAGTGCTGTCCCCGTGTATACTTTCTTGGGCGGATGGGAACAGGGCCCCAGGCCACGCTGCAGCAGGAGGCTGCCCAGCAGCAGTTGCAGAACCCTGGACATCTGCATTCAACCTGGGAGGGCAATTAAGAGAGTCACAGGCCTCAGTATCATCCCCTATAGAGACAATCAAGCTCTGGTGAGATGAACTGTGAAACTTCTCTCCCCACAGTGCTAGGTTAAATTGAAAACTTTTGCAGAAACATCAACCTACAACAACTTTAAAATAGTTAGCCGGGCATGGTGGCGCATGCGTATAATCCCAAGCTACTAGGGATGCTGCCGTGGGAGGATTTCCCAAGCCTGGGCATTCAAGGCCAGCCTGGGCAACATCGCAAGACCCTGTCTCTAAAAAACAAAACAAAACACATTTTAGTTGAAGGTAAAATAAAGCATCTTGACTGTATTCCTGATCTGTCAGCTTTTTATAACACCTCTTGAGGAGAACTCTAGGAAATAGTGTGGGAATCTCAACAGCCTGCACTTGTGTAGGGAGGAGGAAGTGATGTGCTTGAACCTTAACCCGTACTCTTCTGGGGCAGCTGGGCTCCAGCCGGGCTCAGTGTCTCACGCTTGGCCATCCCCCACCTGGACTAGTCCGCCACTTCTGCGGGAGGGAGGTGAATACTATGGAAACCCCACAGAACAATAGTCACTTCAAGTGTAGTGTAAACAGCCTGAGAGGACAGAAAGCCAGCCGAGACACGGCTGTGTTTGGCAGCTGTGTTTGGCAGCCCGTGGCGCTCATGGCACTCATGGCAGCCCATGTACTCACCAGTTGCACTACAGTAACTTTTTGTGATTTAAAGGACATGGGGATCATCATTTAGAAGCCACATGTTCAAATGACCAAAAAAGTAAAAGCAGGCCACAAAGACAGAGCTCGATGATTTTTTTGTCTTTTCAATGTGTAGATTTTGATACTTAAGGAGTTTTCTTAAGTTACGCACTAAAAGCATTTTAGCGTTTTATTCCATTCTGCTGCTCTTTTCAGGAACTGTGTGATGCAGATGCTGGGTGTCCTTGGTCCCCGTGTCAGGGTCTTTCTCCCAGGCCCTTCCGCAAGTCACACCCCCACCTTGTTTGCTATCCTCAGCTGGGTTTTGTTTTCAGCTCTGCCCTTGTTTTACATTCGCTGGTGCCTTGTGGGGTTTCATTTACTTCTTTCTCGTGCTTGATTGGACCTTGGCAGCCATGGTTGTGACCATGGCATTGTGGCTTGGCTTCTTGGATGAGTCTGTGTGCGTGCTTTTACCTGCCCCAGACAGATGCTGGTTTCCTTCCTGTCGTGGCTTCTGTGCTGCCTTCCTGCTCTTGTTTCAGGGTATAGCTGTCATCTTTGATGACCACTCCTTGGAGTGGAGAGAATTTTCCCAGAATCAGCTGTTTGCATTGGATGGGCCCAGGTGTGTACGGCATGGAGGGAGTGGCCCCTCCCTGTATCCTAGATTTGTGGGCATGCTTGTGAGTGTGTGCTTGTGTGGATGTGTGTTGAGTGTGCATGTGCTTGTGTGTTGACTGTGCATGTGCTTCTGAGCAAGTACTTGTACAGGTGTGTGGATGTTGGGCATACATGTGTGTGTGAGTGTGTGAAGAACATTAACCTTTTCTTGGCTTCATCAGGGGTCTCTGCACCTTGCCCCCACCTGTGTTTGTTCGGTTTTGTGTGGTGTGTGGACCCGTTTTCTAGTTCTTCCCCAGAGTTTGCACCCTGGTTTTCTTTTAGTCAGTGAGTTTTAAGAAAAAACTTGACTAAGGCATTTTCATTTCACCGTCTTTACAACTGAAAGTATTTTTATTTTTATACAAAATGTATTTTATTGTAACGTGTGAATTTTTTTGCTCTATTTCATTTATTAATTTCTTCTATTATTAATGTTTTTGTCTGACTTTGTTGCCCAGGATGGTCTTGAACTCCTGGCCTCAGGTGGTCCTCCTATCTGGGCCTCCCAGAGTGCTGGGATTACAGGTGTAAGCTACTGTGCCCGGCCTGTTAAATGTTTTGGTAAGAGCTACATTGAAACCAAATAGTCCACCTACTTCAGGTGTGCAGTTCATTGGCTTCAGTATATTCATGGAGTTGTGCATCCATTAGCAGAAGCAATTTTAGAACATTCATCACCCCAGTAGAAACCCTCTGCCTTTAGCTGTCACCCACTCGATCTCCCTATTCCCATAGCCTTGGGCAACTTCCAGTCTGCTTTCTGTTTCTTTAGATGTCCCTCTTTTGGACATTTCCTATAAACGGGGTTGTATAAGATGTGACAGGCTTCTTCCCTCTAGTATGATGTCTTCAAGGTACCTTTATGTTGCAGCATGTGTCAATACTTGGTTCCTTTTTATGGTCACATAATGCGCTGTTGTAAGGCTCTGCCACCATTTACTTGTCCTTCAGTTGGTGGACATTTGGGGTTGTTTCCACCTCTAGGCTGTTATGTACAAGTGTTTGAGGGGTGATAGATAGGTCTTTATTCTCTTGAATATATATAATCCTAGGAGTAGAATTGCTGGGCCAAATGGTAACTCTTTGTTTAACTTGTTGAGGAACTGCCAGACTGGCTGTACGTTTTACAATCCCATAAGCTGTGTATGAACTTTCTGGTTTTTTCACATCCTTGTCAACACTTGTTACTAGCTGATGACTATTTTGTGATAGCTATCTTAGAGGGTATGAATGAAATGGTATCTTATTGTGGTTTTTATTGTGTTTCCCTAATTAGTGGTGTTTCATGAGCTAATTGGCCATTTGTGTTTTTTTTTTTTTGAGAAATGTTTATTCAGATCCTATACCCACTTTAAAATGTGTACTTTTTAAATTATTGAGTTGTATGTGTATTCTAGGTACAAATTCCTTATTAGATATAATTTACAGATATTATCTTCTGTACTGTGGATTGTGCTTCTTGATGATATCAAGACTTTTTAATTTTGATAAAGTCCAATTCACCTATTTTTCTTTTGTTGCTTATGCTTTTAATGTCATTACCTAGTCCAAGGTCACGAAGATTTACTGCTGTGTTTTCTTTTGTATTTCTTTCCTTTCCCATTTTCTTTTCTTTTCTTTTCTTTTCTGCTGTACTTTCTTCTAAGAGTTTTATAGTAAGCCAAGCATGGTGGCTCAAGCCTGTAATCCCAGCACTTTGGGAGGCTGAGGCGAGAGGATTGCCTGAGCTCAGTGGTTCGAGACTGGCCTGGACAACTTGGTGAGACCTCGTCTCTACAATAAAGCAAAAAATAAACCAGATGTGGTAGCGTGTGCCTGTAGTTCCAGCTACTTGGAAGGCTGAGGCAGAAGGATTGCCTGAGCCCAGCAGGTTGAGGCTGTGGTGGCTGCGAGCATGCCACTGCACTCCAACCTGGGCAATAGAGTGAGACTCTGACTCCAAAAAAAAAAGAGCTTTATCGTTTTAGCTCTTACGTACAGGTCTTTGATTCATCTTAAGTTAATTTTTATATATAAGGGGGGACCCACAAAACCTGAAATTTATTTATAAAAATTATGTATTTCTTCTTTGTTTTTTTTAGTTGAGCTTTTTCCACTGCTCAAGACAGTTTTGAGCTCATCCATTTTTATACCTTTCAGTGCTTCTGCCGTTTTTTTGTTTTACCTCTTCCACATCAGCAAAACGTTTCCCTTTGAGGACTTTTTTCATTTGGGAAACAAAAAAAAGTCACTAGGACAAGATCAGGTGAATACGGAAGGTGGGGCACACGGGTCATATCGTTTTTGGTCAAAAACTCAGCATGGTGTGGGGAGATACGCTCATAAATCACCCATCATGATATGGGCAAATGTGTTGAAAGAACCTTAAAAAAAAAAAAATTCACTGAAGCCAAATGCAGCCCCTTACAGCGCTAACTGGTACATTGATGCCAGTGGGTTCCTAGAACACTTACCTAATGAGGTAAGTTGGTACTACAGGGGCCTGCCCCTCAAAAGGTAATTTCATTCTTGGGGTCCTCCACACGGAGTATGAAGTGGGGATCCAGCTTCGTTCTCTTTCTTGTAGATATCCAGTTGTCCCAGAATCTTGGTTGCACGTATTGAGAATTGGTTGACCATAATCGATTTTGTATTAATCCTATATCCGACTGCTTCACTGAGCACATTTATTAGTTTGAAAAGCCTAAGTGTGGCTTAGCTCTGTGAGGGTTTGCTGATCTCTCCCTGTCTTTCATAACCTTTACAAATTTGATGAATACTGGTCAGGCGTTTCATGGAATGTCCCTCACTTTGGGTTCATCTGCTGTCTTCTCATGCTTAGACGGGGGTTGTGGGTTTTAGGGAGAAACGCACAGAAGGAACGTACCCTTCTTGGCACAGCTGAGCAGGGTGGCGAGCAGGTGGCCAGCAGCGTGGTGCGTCTCCACCAGGAATTGCTCTGCTTTCTCATGCTCTTTACAGGGGATCACTTAGTCCAGCTCACCCTTGGGTGGGGAACAAAGCTCCACCTGCTGGATGAGATGAAGGGTAATAGAGAACGTGTGGACATCGGTAGAAACCCTGTAGCAGTTGATAGATATCTTGGGGAAGATACTTGGAGGCTGTGCAGACATCTCATTAGTCCTTGAAACTGCACCCACCAACCTTTGCACTCAGGCCTTCCTCTGCCGCTACCTTGTGACTGGGCTGTTCCCATGGTGGCCTTCTGTTCCCCCAGTCCCTTCTACATTTAGCAGTTGGAATTCTGCAAGGAAGATGTGTCCCTTCTTCCCCCCATTTGTTTTTTCCAGGCCTTACTTTTGATGGTATGGCTGAAGGCAGTGTGGAGTTATGCTAAGAACAAGAACTCTGATAGGCTAGGAGCAGTGGCTCATGCCTGTTACTCCAAGATTTTGGGAAGTTGAAGTGGGAGGATTGCTTGCAACCAGGAGGTTGAGGCTGCAGTGAGCTATGATCATGCTACTGCACTCCAGCTTGGGTGACAGAGAGAGAAAAAAAGAAAGACCCTGTTTCAAAAAAAAAAAAAGACTCCTGAGTGACTGCTATGTGCCACCCAGCAGCCCTGCAGGGACTGTAAAGAGTGCATAACAGAGCATGTAAGGCGCTCAGAACCCTGTCCAGTGCCCAGGAGGCCTGCATAGAGTGACCATCCTTGTCACCGTGCCTCACTCACAGAGAGGCAGCTCATATCACAGCCCCCAAAGCCATCCATTGGGCACAGGAAAAGCAGACTTTTGCCCGAGGGGTGTGGACACATCCATTTGGGCGCTCAGTACCAGTTGACTGTGCTCCCGTCTGTGGAGTACTTAACGTGGCTCTACATTTAATACTTGAAAGCCTTTCCTACAAGGGTATGGTTATTTATCAGTATTGGAGCTGTGAAGTAACCTGACCAGGCAGTGCTGATAAGAGGCCAAGCTATGTACAGACCCAGCTCTGTTTAGTTCTGGAAGCCTTGTTCCCAACCACTGGCCTGCCCTGCCTCCCACACATCAGGAAGGGTAGTTTCTGTTCACCTGGGGACTCAGGTGGTCAGGAAGAGAATGCTGTGCTTTGGGAAGAGAATGCTGTGCTTTAGAAAGACGCTTGAGTGGGCTACCTTGGAGGCTCAGGCTGATGAGGCTGGCTGAGGGTGCAAACCCATGTTTTTAGTGTGTGATCTTCGTAAATGGCAATCCATGCTGGTGCATCACCAGAGTCTTCTTCACGTGAGGAGGGATGAGAATTCCAAGATTCTTTCTTTTGCTTTCTCAGCGCATTTATTACCTTTCCCTGGAGTTCTACATGGGCCGTACGCTGCAGAACACGATGGTGAACCTGGGCCTTCAGAACGCTTGTGACGAAGCCATCTATCAGGTACGGGGGCTCTTGTGGAGTGTTGGGGTTTTAATACATGGTTCTTCAGAGGTAAACACTACTGTTAAGATTTGCAGCTGTCTGGGAATGGAGAAGTGTCCTAGGGCTGGCTTGCCCTCCTGGAGGAGAGTGGGTTGGTGGGGGCTGCTCCTCTTTCTCCAGGGGAGGAGGCAGCCATTGAATGGGAGATGACGTGTGGTGGCCCTGCCTTGTGGGTCTCTGGTGTCCCCTGCAGGACGCAACACAGAGCAGCATCTGGGGCACGTGATTCATGTCATTCCTGTTGGCACGACAAAATGGAAGAAAGTCTTCACTTCCCAGAATAGGAATCTTACATTCAGAAGTATCTGCAAGATAGAAGTTTCCCTGGTAGGGAACTTGTCATTTGTGTTTGTTTACTGAGTGTTAATGTCAGGATATGACGGCAGGACATACAGTGTCTCAGTCCTATCTTCTGTGAACTTCACAGTTGTAAAACACACTTCATTTTTTTGGAAATTTTTTCTCCTTATACAGTTCTCACACACAGTAAAGATTTTAGGAAATGTTTACACCATAAATATGCAGTGTGTTTATAATTTTATTACACAGATAATGTGTTAATTATAGGGACTTAAAAAACACATGTATCCTTTTAGACCTTGTGCTTTTTCTTCTTAAAGTGACAGTTGCCTTGTAGTTTAGCGTTTCCTTAATCTTGTGTTTGAAAGGTTTTCATGGCTGGGCGCGGTGGCTCAAGCCTGTAGTCCCAGCACTTTGGGAGGCTGAGGCGAGAGGATTGCCTGAGCCCACTGGTTCGAGATCAGCCTGGACAATTTGTTGAGACCTTGTCTCTACAATAAATAAAAAAATTAGCCAGAGCCAGGCTCGGTGGCTCAGCCTGTAATCCCGTGCCTTTGGGAGGCTGAGGTGAGTGGATTGCCTGAGCCCGCGGGTTCGT